ACAGGGCCGTTTTATCCATTAGGCACTGTAGGCAACTGCCTAGGGGCCCCGCCACGTTCAGGGGCCCTGTGCTACAGAGAAAAAAATTGACAATGTTTCTTAAACAGTAAAAATTTAATTCGAAATTTCAAAGACGATTGTCTTGCTCTGTACATTACATCGACGCTATTTTAGTACATTTCTGAAAGCATTCCAAATTAGATATTAATATTGTGGTAGTTAGTTCATATATAACGCAGTAATATAATCGCAAGCAATTTTATTGCAATAATTTTAAGGCAGACTAATCAGATGACTATACAGCAAGAGCAGCTTTTTTAACACAACACGCTTGAAAAACACGCAACACGATGACGAGCCTGCAAAAGAAGTTGTGCTCAGAAGGAAAGAGAAATTAAAAGTTGATACATATTTGCCAGTACTAGACATGCTGTGTACAGAACTGTCGCGGCGCCTAGAAGCTTACCGGGAAATAAATGATCTGTTTGGGTTTCTAACAGATTTCTCGACAAAATCCGACAGGCTTGCACAAAGTTTAAGGAACATTATTTCGAGGACATTGAGCCTGAGTTTATAGACAAAATGGTGCAGTATAAATATTTCATCTTACAATTAGAAGACGCTGGGAAAAAAATTGCGCCTGCCGAAGAGTCTTACAAACTGATTATTGGTAACATGGCATAATCAACTTTCCCGAATGTAATGACAGCTTTGCAAATATATAGAAGTCTAATGATTACAAACGCCACTGGTGAGCAAAACTTTTCCAAATTGAAATTAATTAAAAACTGTCTTCGTTCAACTATGTCTCAAAACCGTTTAAATTCATTGGCCGTAATGGCAATTGAAAATGATGTATTGGAAAAGGTTAACTTTCAGGATGTCTTGAACGATTTTGTAACAAAAAAAGTTAGGAGAGTCAATATTTAAGCTTATTGTATGATTTTTTTTTAAATGCATATATTAATTACTTATATTCCTTTCGTTTGATTCAATATTTTTATTGAATAAGGTGATAATATACATATGTAGTAAAAAACAGCGTAATTATGAATGAAGTGTTGTGTTAGCGAAAAAATATATTAGTATGTTAGAAAACGGTGGGGGAGGGGGGCGAGACGAGCATTGCCTAGGGGCCGCGTCATGCATAGGGCGGCCCTGCTGCTACGCACTACTTACTCATTGAATAACGTGGGGAAACTAGTTTTCTGATGCTGGAAAGCTTGCAATTAAGAGTTTGATAAAAGCCATGGACAAATGCTCAGAGGGTTGAGCTACACAGTGATTATGTAACTTTATAGGTTTAAAAAAAAATAATTGAATAATATCTTCAATATTGTGTTTTGGCTCTGAAATTATCTAACTATTAAGGCATTTTCTTAATTATTCTACAATTTAAATAACATATATATTTTTTGAGGTCATTTCTTATTTTGTTTAAACTTCATAAAAGGGAGAGAAAAAACTTACTGATCTATTGCTAGACTGTAGAGGTACTGTACTATTGCAATATATTTGCCAAGATTATAAAATAGTGCATTCCAAAACGTATAAATTTACAATATTTTAGTCATGTGCTTTATCTCTTGGCAAAGTCATGTTCAACAGGATGCCATGGATAGCCCCAAATTCAAAAATAATAGTCTTGCTCTAAATTGCACATAAGATCATTAATCTACATTAGTTTAAATTATTTCGGTTAGCAGATTATTTATAGATCGATATTTTTTATCTTAAAGTACAATAATAACTCTTGGTGTAAAAAATTAGAACTAGAAAAATAAAAAATATTTCGAGGTTATGAAAAATATGTTTTTCAACAAAAAAAACTATTGAGATTTTTAAAGGGTAAGTGCTTCGCAGTTTCCCCAGTCTGTTAGCAAAAGAAACCATAATTAGATATCTAGAATTTCATATTTTCTGCTAAGTATTTTTTTTTTAATTGATGTTATTTTTTTAACTATATTTGTCTTCTTTTCTAGCTGTGTGAAACTTGTCTTTCAAAAGCAGTACAGAATAATGATGACAGTATTACCGATGAAGTGCTAGCTAAATGTTTGGCAATTTCAACAGAAATTTGTCACATTTTTCCTAGTCAAATTACTCAACAACTTACTGACACTTTAAAACCCTTTCATTCAGTTCGTAAGTAAAACAATGTGTAAACTTTTGCGTCTATAATAATAAAAATCTGAATATTTTTTGTCTTAATTCTATTTTCTTCATTGCAGGTAAATCCTATGAAAGGATAACTCCTTTTCTCAGAGCTCATGCATTTGCTTGTGTTGGCAAAATAGCACTGCAAGATGAAAGCTTAGCAAAAGAAATCCTCCCAGAAGTGGCATATGAACTTATACATTCCCAAGAAGATGCCATCAGAAATAATGTGGCCATAATTTTAATCGAGATGTGCAAACGTTACACTTCTTTAGCCGATAGATATGTCCCGATAATCAGCAGATGTTTTAAAGACAGAGTGTACCTAATTCGATACCAGACAATCACTATGTTGGTTAATCTCTTGCAAGAAGGTTACATCAAATATAAGGGAACTCTATTTTATTGTATCCTGTCTACAGTTATTGACAAAAAGGAATCAATTCGAGAACTGGGGAAATATTGTTTGCTAGAACTCTTGGTACCGAAAAAGAAATCCATTTTTTCTGATCATTTTGTAGATTCCATCTTTGTTTTCAATGGCTATGGTCCCCCTGACAACGAAAATTTAAGACAACTCATTCAGGATTTGGAAATATTTGCACTTAAAGGAACTGATAAAGCAAAGGAAAGAATGCAATTATATACATTCATGCTTGTGAATATGGATGCTACTGCTCTCACATTTTTAGTAATTCAAATCGTGCAAAATATTTTAATGTCTGTTGCAGAAAATGTCTTTCCCTTGAACTCTGATACGGAAAACATGGTAAGGGATTGCTTTGCCATTCTCAACTCCCCTGATGTTAGACCTGTAGATATAGACAATTACGATTTAGAAACTGATGCAGATAGAGAGAAATTTGCCAGCGCAGAAAAAGAGACGAGAAAATTGATGTTGATAGACCCAGTTGTACCAGCCGTAATTTCGTTGAAAAATTGCGTCATGTCTGAAAAATCAGGACTCTTAGAAGAGATTATATTCTTTTTGAAAGAGTTTTTGCAGGACTTTAAGAGTGAGGTGAATGTGATAATATCCGATAAAACACTGCTACAGCAAATTAATCTTGAATATCGTAAGGATATGGTACAGCAAGAAAAGGAAAATAAAAAAGATCCCAAAAAAGCACCAGTATCTACTCAAAATGGAGATATTGATCCAAGCACTGCTGTCGCAATGGCGAAAGAAAGAACAGATTTGATTTTGCAGAAAGAATTGGAGAATATTCGTAGAGAGTCTGGTATGAATGGAAGAGCGCCACATGAAACATCTTTGCGCTTAGTATCTAGGACCCCTCTAAACAAATCAACAGCAAGAAAGCCTGCTCCGAGCCAAAGTATGGAAATAGACCCTACACCCGGGACAAGTAGTAACGGATCATCTGAGTTTTTGCCCAGTGCAGGGGAAAACTTTTCAAGCACACCCAGAGTTGTATTGACTCAGTTAAAATTACCTAAGACTCCTGATATTAGTAGTCTTGTCTTCCATATAGACAGCGACAGTGATTAATAATTTCGAAAATCGTCTCATTTTAAAACTTTTAATTCGTAACACTTGCAGACCCTTTTAAAATCGGTATATTTTCATCTTTTAATTTAGATGTTAAGCAATAAGTTGTTTGTTTGCGTTGAACTTTTTTTATATATAAAATTGAACTCTTTACATTTTTATACACATGTACTGAATATATTTATCATGTGGAAAACTGTATTTTTATAAACGCTAATGTAATTAAGACTTTGGAATAATAACCTTCAAAATTTCAAATAAATGTTTTATTATTACATACTTGTGCAATTTAATCGTAGCAAGAATTTTTTTTTTCTACTTGAGTAATTTAATAGGTATTTGGCAAATGCAAGATGGCTATTTTATTTATATCTTTGCAATATAACGATAAGCCTTATTTTCAAAACTTTTTTAGTATAAAAAATACCATTTTCACATAAGCAATAAAAAAATTTTGTGTATTGCCCTATTAAATAGTGAAAAACCTTTATGAGTTTCTAACCTTTTTATGTCATTAAAATTTATTTGATTTACTTTAAATGTAGCACTTGTGTTACATCTCATCAGATTAATACAGAATAAATATTTTTTAAATTCAAAATATAAATTTTAAGTTTAATTTGATGTGTTAAAAACATTCAAAATTTTATTACTTCATTTTTTTGGAAGTAAAATATAAACAAGGACTTAGATCTGAGTAAAAATATTGTTTCTTTAGTTTTTCGATTCAGTATCAAAAACACTACCTTACAAGTACTAATAGATTACTTTAAGTGAGGCAGAAAGATAGATAAACTTCATTGAATGCATATTTTATAAAATTATTTATAAAGCAAACTTTTTATAAACATTGATTATTGCTATAAAAATAAAGACTAAATACATAAATGTTCATACAATAAATTTTGTTAAAAAACACTGAAAGTTTCATAAAAAGCCATAATAAATATATAAATTTTAAAACAAACAGAAATATTATAATATACATACGTGAGTAGTAGCAAGTAACATTTTAAAAAATTACTAAATGCATTTGAAGCAAATGTGACACTAATTTAGTGGAGCAACATCAAATAGTAATTGTTTGAAAACTGTACATGTAAGAAATCTTTAAAAACAACTAATTAGCTGTCAGTAGATTCTTCAGAGAGTGCTGTTCGATCCTGGTCGATGGAAGAAGTAAAGGAAAAATCAAGATCTTCACTTTCTGGTAAGCTTCTCAAGCGATTGCTACCAAGTAAAAGAAAATGTAATTGTAGAGATTAGCAATTTAAACTAAATTCTTTACTAACAACAGAAATAAGACCTCTTTAAATTCTGAATATCCATATAAATTATTTAAAATGAAAATCTGTTTTAATGTACAGTTTTTGATTGAAAAGAAGAAGAAAAAGCAATTTTCTTAGAATGATAAGTTCCCTAATAATAAACCACCGTCACATTTGGAAAAAGAAAAAATTGAGGTAAAAGTTTTTATTTAGCTCCGAGAAAATTTTTTAAGTTTTTTACAATTGATATTCATTCTAGAGTTTATTTGTGTAAAGTTATAAATTTCACCTATTAAATAAGGTAACAATAATTAAATTCGAATAACAATTTAACAATAGTTTCATGTATATCATGCATATACTACTTTTATAATCAGGGAAATTATAATTTAGATAGAACAACAAAACAGGAAGAGCTACTGATGACTAATGTTGCAAGATTTTCACACTAATACTTAGCAACAATAAATTTAATACTCTAACACTAATGCTTAGCAACAATTTCATATGCTGCTTTTAAATTCTACTGTTTAAACCATGGTTAAAGCAGTCAAAAACCTACCAACATTCCTTTCAGTAAAAGGCGCAAAGCAAATCAAAATCATGCATGTTTTTTTTTTATAAACATTTTCAATAATTCTTACTTTTTTGGACTGCTTGATGTACTTGAGCTGTCGTTAGTTTCCAATTCCATATCTGAACTCCTCAATTGAGCTCCATTGACAAGAATTAGTTCTGTTGATTGATTTTGCTTAGATGAAATTAAAACAGACATCTTTCTGTGAGCCCATCCCAAGTACTGAGCATTTTGAACAGGTATCACAGCTCGGTTGCCTCTGAAGTGAATAAAAATAACCACATTATTTAAAAGATTTTATAGTCTCATATTAAAAAAACATGGCATGCCAAAATGTATCTCATATAATTATGAATACTATTGCAAAAATAATCAGGATTAAACTTGTTTTTTATTTTTTAGATTATTTTTTTTTATTATTACTTATTAGCTTTTTCAGACATTTTTTGTAAATAGCGATATATATTTTTATTTTAAGAGCATTTTGCTTGTGTATTTATTTTTTTCTTTATAAATTACAGTAAATTGAATCTTATAATTTAAAAGTGACACAATAGTAAATGTTGATAGTGATCCGAGTTCTTCAGGATATATAAATTTGCTAGATAAGGAAAGACTTTCTTTTGAGAATGTTAAAAAACATGATAATGCAATGCAATTTAGATATTCTAGAAGATTGTATCATATGTGTCTTTATCAAGTATAAGTTTTATTCTTTTAATAAATTTATAAATACAAGTAACAATTAATAATTTTAAAAAAAAGAAGTATTGAAAACTTAAAGGGCATTACTTTCCATTTTAGGCTAATTTTTTGTCATGAATTTTTTGGTCATCCTAGTCACACATATTATATCTAAAAAGCAAACATTGTAGTAAAATACTATTTATGTACTAATATATAATTTAAAGAAAAGATAAAAATCAGTATAAAGGAATATTAAATAAGTTTTTATTTACTTATCCTAAAATAGAAAAAAAAACTTATTTTTCAAAACTTATTAGTGAACAAATATATAAAAAAAAACATTGTTAAATCGTAGCTGTCCACTTTTTAAGATAAGGATCAGGAAGATAGGCTAAAAAATTATAAAGATTTCAGTTAAATCAAGATTCATCTTGATTCGTTTTGGAATTATAGATTTACATTAAATGTACCTAATCAACATGCATTATTTACGTCTACTTAAACTTATCAAAATACTTTCCCAAGGTTAATGTTGCAGGAAAATAAAATTAAAATAATCTTAATGTAAATTTGAAATTTAAGCTATTTTCTCTACAGTGACTACTTTAGAATAAAGCATCAGAATTATTTTTATTTAAAAACTATATATATTTTTTTTTCAATAGACTTAACTTAGCATTTACCAATGGTTCCCAACTTTTTTTTTCCTTTGTAACCCCCCTCTAAAATCCAAAATAAAATGTATAACTCCTTTTGTAATCAATAATGATTGGTGAAAAGACAAAGTTTGTTAGAACAATAATTTCTCATGTTAATTATTGAAAACAGGAAACTAAAAGATAATTGTAAAATATTTTATTGCAACCATTTATAAAATTCAAATGATAGCTAAAAAAAGTGAATATAAAATTCACTAAACAGGTTCTCAGTTAAATGTATATTTTATTTAACTAATCAATCTGGGAAAAGTTTGAGTATTTTTTTTTTTCTGTTTGTTTATGCCCGCCATCTAAAGAGACTTATTAACCTTAATTTTCTTGTAAGATTAAGCATTTAAAACACACGGGAAAAAAAATTGTCAAAGTTTTGGAACATAAAATTAAGTGTTAATAAATACTTATTTAGCACAATATTGGCTGTATACTAAAAAATAGGGAATTAAAATTAACTTTCCTTCTAAACATTGCATAAACAATTTTTGAGTCAAATTTGAAAATAAAAAAAGTTCACTTTTTCCTCACAAACACACTGTTAGACTAACACACATACAAATTCTTTATTTTATTATGAGTAGACATGTATTTTAGATACAGCCCTTTAACCAGAAAAAAAGCTAGTATATCTAACAATGAAATGATATCAAATGTCATACATATCCAAGGTTGGGGCTTTGGTATCAAAAACCTGTATCCTAATTAACTGATACATGCCACATTAAAAAGTATCATTAACTGTTCAAATCTCACAAAAACCTGAGACAAGTTTCTTTTTTACCTTTGAAGATATTTAGTTTGATGATAAATCATGCAACATACTTGCATTCAATACTACAATAATTATGTAAATTGTATATAAAAATCATAGCTAAGATTATTGAAACTATTAATTGGTTTTTTAAAAGACATGTTACTCTTAATACTTAAAGATTAATATTATATCCTGCATTATAACTATTAAGTTCATATTAGAAGTAGTAAGTATGAGTTGTTAATTATTATCAATCTAAATATTGATTTATAATTCTCTTATGTAGATTTTTTAAATTAATTAAAACTTAAGTGATCAACAATAATTGCCTGATCTCAACTTATAATTTATTTATTATTTTATTTATTTTTTTGATTTTTCATTATTCCTTGTAATTATTTATAATGCAGGTAAGCAGAATAAGTACAAACCTTCAAACAAGGTTTTGGGGGGGGGGAATGAATTCTTGACATGACAGTTAAAATTGTGAATTGTCAAAAACCTGCTAACCCTGCAGTTTCTGCTTTCATTTATTTTTCATCACGCATACATGCCATATCTTGGAAATAATTTAAGGAAAGTCTATAGTTTTATTTTCATAATTAAAGAAGCTATACTTACACAATTGCAGATGTCTGGGTAGGAATTTCTAATACTTCAATAGAATTAAAATGCACAATAAATAGATATGGTGATCGATAAGCTGCAAAGTAAATTTCTTGGTTGTTTTATCAAAGAATACTAAAAAATACATTTATGACAGTTAAATTTGGCACTATGAACATTTTTGCACTTAAAAAAACTATACTTGACATTGTGTATTGTAATAGTCAGAGTGCAAATAGTATTACTAATTTTTGCACTACAAATTGAAAATAATTTTAATTGTGAGTTTTCCGACTTGAAGATTTTGGAGCTCTTTCTAGACACTGTCGTTCAAAACAGATAAAAAAGTTTATTGGATTTAAATTTAAAGAGATGAGTGGAGACATTTTATCCTTCCATTTTTATTGTTAACAACTATTTTGTGTTGCATTAAAATGCTTTGAAAACAAAATTTTCATTTTAATGCAAAATATTTTCCAACATTACATTGCCAGTATTTTTTACTTTAACTTTTTCATGGAAATAAAAAATATTATGAAATGTACATTTAGAAATTGAGAATTTCAAGCAATAGGATCAAATCAGATTTAGAAAAAAAGTTCCCTAAATTTCTAAAAATTGTATTTTGTCATTCTTTTAACTTTATTAAGTATAGTGTGTTTTCTGATAGAATTATAAAAAATATTTCTTAGAAATTATTTTTAAATTAAGAATAATGACGTCAAATGGAAACTATGAACTGGATCGTTTAAAACAGTGTTTCTTAACCTTTTTGGTACAATGGACAACTTTTAAAATTTTTTAAGAAATCACGGACCACCCCATGTGAAAAAAATTATTGCAAAAAAGATCAATTATTGAAAAACATTTAATTTTATTATTTTAATAGTATACAAAATTTTTAAAATTTAAATTTTTAATGTGAAGGTTGCTGCTGCTTTTCCTTAATTAATAAATTGGATTGGAGGATGGTATTCGACAAAGCAACGCGCATATCATGTTCAACATTCAATCGATTTCGATATTTTGATTTTATTGTCACAAGTGTGGTAAATCCCGCTTCGCAAAGATTCACTGTAGCAAATGAAATTATAGTTGCCGTAGCTCGCTTTACAAGCAATGGGTAGGCTTCCAAACATTTCAAAAATTAGGAGTAGTCAGCGGACCCCCAAAATATGACTCATGGACCCCTTAGGGGTCCATGAACCACAGGTTAAGAAACCCTGGTTTAAAAGAATGGAGCGTCTAACGATTATTTACTTTTTAGAAATTTGTAGGAATTCGGACCAAGCTCACCCAATCTAATCATAACACATAGAAAAAGCATCTATCCATTAACCACTTCAAACAGAAGAAGACTTACCGAATGACAAAGGTAATCTTGACCATTTCATATCTTCTGATCTAGTTCTTCTGCCTTCGCTATCGACAAACACTCCCATCTCTAGATGTAAAATTAAAGTTTAAAATCACTGCACGACATTAAAACATTTTCTCAGTAAAAACATTTATTGGTTCAGCAATACTTCATTCTGAGAAAAATACATTTCAATTTTTGTATGGCACATCTAAATTACGGTTCAAAATTAAAAACAGAACATCAAAATAATTTCTGATCTAGAGGTTAGACTTTTATGTGCTAAGATGTACCTTTGCTGTTTCATAAGAAAATATGCTAATGAATGTGAGGAAATTATAAGTTTTGATATCAGATACAAAAAGCTACTTTCTTTAAATAAACATACCTTCTTTTAACGGATTTAAATTTTTGATCTACGAAATATAAGGGGATAGGTGCCATATACGAAATATGATCCACTTAAAGTTAATTTTACTTTAAACTGCACCTAGAGCAGCGGTTTCCAACCTGTGAGCAACACTGTTACATGGATGCTGGTAAAAACTCACTTTGATCACTGTTTTAATTCTCCTTCACTTCTGACAATTAAATTAATACAATAAAGCTGCTATTTTCTGTATAAAAATGTATATATTTTAATTTTTCTTTACAGTTATCTTTTACTTATTTATATACATGTGTTCATTACTTAGATATACACATATATTTGTTATATGTATATAATTGATGTTTAGTTGTCATTATATTATTAACTTTTATATTTAGTAGTTATGAGCCCTCATGTTTCTTTCACAAAATTGGCGGCTCACATAGCTAAAAGGGATGGAAAACACTAATTTAAAGAAATTTACTCAAGATTAAAGAATTTTTATAGATAAAAGAATTTCAAGATAAAACAATTTCTTTTTCACCAAAATTTTATATCTATTCATTTAAATAGTTTGAATTATAGGATCTACAAAAATTTTTTAAATAACTTTAAATTATGTTATTTTAAATTAAAGATTACAAATTTTGTGGAAAATAGTTTTAAAGAAATAAAATTCCAAAAATTTTACTTTTCGAGAACAATTTAACAGATTCTATTCAAATTTGGAACGTTGTTACTTCAAAATTACTTACTTTAAAAATTATATTAACATTTGATTGCCTTTAGGAAGGCATTGGCTCACATTAGGCTGTCTGGCCAACTATGATGATGATGATTTGATTGCCTGTTTTTATTATGAAAGTAGATTATTTATACCTATCATGAATGAAATTATCTTTAGAAATATTGATTTACAATTATATGCAGATAATATTTGATTCTCTTTAATATTTCTAGAAATATGGTGAAGTAAGCAAAAAGTAAAATTGAATTAAGAGGACTTTCGACTACTCTCCTAACTGAACTATTCGGTCTACATTTTTCAGATTGTAGTCACCCCCATATTTTCAAAATTTTTAATACATAGAACAAAGTATGTTTATTCAGATAAAGAAATTTTTTCTGTGTTTGACTTTGCAACTTAAAATATTGTCAACACAAATTTAGAAAATTTAAAATTAGCTCTTAGAATTAAATTTGAATCTTATAACATGAAAATCTGATCATTAAAACATTATTGAGATGCTGTTTTTTTAATTTTGCACCCTGCCTATTATGGTAAAATGTAGCTGTGCAGAGAACATGATTGGCTGCATTTAGAAAAATGAAGAATGATAACTTCATTTGAGAACTTTTAGATGTATGTCAGATATTCCACTTTCAGATAATGCAATTAAAAAAAAATTAAAACAGAAACAGCCCTTGATTTAATTTTTTATGTTCAACTTTCCTATATTATCGATTGTGGCAATGATTAATTTTGATTGAAAAAAGTTACAAAATTTTATTGAATTATATTGAAAAATAAAATTACTAAAGAGCTCGAATAGTGGTAATTCTCAGCAAATGCTACAATTAACTGCAACTCTCACAAAAATCTAATATGATACAATTCAATTATGATTTTTTTTTAAAGTTTAATTAATAGTATTATTGTTAACATTTTAGAATTATTTAACACTGATTTTAACATGTATGTTAAGTTTTAAACTGTCATTTTCCTCGCAGGTCCCCCCGGTAATATTTTCAATAATTACTAGCTATAATACTACTTATACATTTTTCTTTGTCTAACTTTTTACTTATAAAACTGTTTAAGACATTTCTGAAATATGTGCACAAGGAATGACTTACAAAATATTTTGTAAGAATAAATTTTTCAGTCAATAATTTTTATAACGTACAAAATATGTCATTTTTATTGGCCACTTATTTTTATTTCTCTATCTACAAAAATAATATCTACAATTAATTATTTTTGTTTAAATGTATGATTGACAAGCCATTTTGTTAAAATAAATATTTTATTAGAATAGAGAGAAAAATTTCAAAAAAAAATTCCATTTGAAGAGATTTTTTTTTTAAAAAAAAGAGTAGATTTTTATGTTGTTTTTTTCCTGACTTCTCTAAGTCATTAATATCATTAACCATATTATTCAGTCTAACCTTCTTTAAAAAGCAATGTTGTTAATAACATAAAGTGAAAATGCCAGGCCTATAAATAGAAGAACAGGGAAGCAAACAATTATAAAATAATATTATCCATGTTCGTCATTTTCCTGGAACTTAATACAATTGACAATTATTTACTGGGATTAATGTTTCTAAACTATACTGTTCTTAGTAAGTTATTAATTAAGGTAACTAAATGAATATTTAAAAAAAACTATCTTAACGATTTTAAATTTAAATACTTATTTTTCCAAAGTGGTGTATTTTCTGAGAATAAAGCATGTTTAACAAAATGTTAAAATTTATTGTATCACCTTTCTCATCTGAGATATGTATTCTCGCTCTCTCTTTCAACATGTAAAATTGTTCAAGAAATAACTTTTTAAAATGAAAGCTAATTAAAATAAAAATTTTAACTTCAATATCAGTAAATTAAGAGATGAAAATGTTCTAGTTTTGGAAATTAATATAATACATAAAAAAATTTTCCCAAAAAAGATTTACTCACTAAACTGTAATTATGAAAAAAGACACTAACTTATCCTATCTACGAAAATGTTGTTTTATAAAATTGTAAAACTAAAACATAGTTAAATTGACAGTTTTAATAAATGACTTATAGATTAGTAGATAAAATTAAGTGTTTCTACAGCCAGAATAAATTTAATTCCTATGTTTATTAAATAAAACGTTCGCCATTTTTTTAAAATTAAATTTGAATCCTGTCTTACCATGGAAACAAAGTAGATATTCCTCATTTTGTCTCTGTTCTGAGATGTTGAGGATAGCTACAGGAAAGCTTCGATATTGAGGTGCACCATAAACTAAGCCTGCTAGAGAAGCGTCGCTCCCGTCTAGGAAACCTTAAAGTTTAGAAAATACTCATGATTTTTACTTTGTATATAGTTGAATAAATTAAACACATAATATCAATACTACTTGCAAACTTTAAAAAAAACTCGTGAAAAACTCACCTTTAGCTGAAAAATCAGCAAGATCTAATTCATAGAAAATGTCAGTCCCAAATAATATTCTTTGGTTAGAAAAATGAATACAACTACAAGGTTCATTAACGCTTATTACCTATAAAATAAAACATTAAATTAATACTACAAATAGAACAAAAAATATTAACAGTTAATGAAAGCTAAAAATATTTGATTCTTCGCAATGTAACCCATTTTTAGAATGCCCTACAAAAAAATGATTCCACTAGAATTATGACTTCTGACCACCACATTCACATTTTTACTGATAAAATGAATGTTGAAGAGATGTATACCTTCTGTTCTGCCAAATTTAGAGGTTTAAGATTGCCATTCTCATTACTTAATTTTACACACCTTCTATATTTAAGATTATGTCAATATATTTTTTAGATAATTATTTTTCTAAGAGAAAATCTAACAAAATAATAGGTACATAGAGTAATAGGTGATAGTAAAATAAAAATTACAATAACATAAAATGCTTGTTTAAGAATTACTTAGTCTGAAGAAAATAAAACCTTTCTTTAAATTCTTCATAAAAAACTTATTTTCTAAAAACTAATTTATATATATATACACACAGTGAAACCTCCGATAAACGGACATTCTTGGGACCGAAAAAGTTGTCCGTTTACGGGAAGGGTACCCTAATAATGAAGTCTAACACAGTAAATTGTTTTTAGTATATTTTCAAAGATGTAGAAATAATTAAATAATCTACAATAAGTATCTGCAAAGATATTTATTTAAACTTTACGAAAATTAAAAAAAGAATTTATAAAGAAGTTTGATATGAATACATAATATTAGATGCAGATATAGATAAATAATATAATTTTCCTATCAGTATAAATACTTAAGTTAAGCATATGATATCGAATAGGAGCTTTCAGTCCTCAGTTGTTTTCAATTATTAGGTTTACATCCCCTTACACCTACCTATCATTTGATAGAGAACAGGGTTAATACCTTCTTGAAAGTAAACCTCCCAGAATTCACATAGAAAAAAAACAATGCCTGTATTTAAGTCATGAGAACATATGGAGTTGGTTATTCACAATCGATCAGCTATCAAGTGTCTGAATAAATGTTTCATTTATGTGAACACCTCAAAAATTACACTTCTGCTCTCTTTTTTACCCTAGCTGTGTTAAATACAGTCTTCAAATTGATAAGAAAATTAAAGAAATTTTCAATGGGGAAGAAGGGTTGAGAGCATTTAAGATGTCATTTCAACTTGAGGGATCTCATAACATGTGTGGTCCAGATGAAAGGATCAAAAGATGCGGCTGTCTGAATTATTTCAGAAGAGCAGTATAATTTTCTCTCCTTTCTTTACATTGATAAGGCAAGGTGACAGGAGGAAGATTGATTATTCAGTAGTAAAATAGCTTAACAACATTTTTAGTTATTGATAAGACAAAAAATTTGCATGTTTTAAAAATGGCGAAAAGTTGCTTTTTTCCCCCTTGCAATTTAAAGCAGAATTATTTTTTTTTCTTTTCAAATTTAGAAAAAGTAGTGTCGGGTTTGAGGAGAGAGAAAATAACGTTTCAGGGCGAAAATGACTCTCCGCATCCGCTTTGCAGAGAATGTACATAACGGTTTATGCATAGAAAATTCCCGGGGAATTAAAAATATGTCTGTATTGAGTGACGTCCGTTTTGCAGGAGTGCCCATAACTAGAGGCTTCACTGTATATATATATATATATGACTAATTTACTGAGTCAATCTACAGCACCATTTGCATAAATCAAAATTTGTCTACAATCCAAATGTAATCAAGTAGAGACTATTACAAAAATAAGACTTATCCAGTATGAATAGCAAAATTTAAATTCACAAATTTAATTGATAATTTAAGGTAAATTAAATTTAAAAACAAGAAATGTATGTTTAAATATAATTTGAAGCATGAAATTATACTTAAAAAAGAAGATAGAATAAATCTGTATGTCATGAACAGTTGAAAAGAAAGGGAGTAGTTTTTCAAGTTGCATAGTTAAAACATATAAAAAGGCTACACCGCTACACAGCTAAAATATGTATATCATTATATTAAAGTATACTGCAGGGTATTTTATAACTTTTCAATTTTTTCTGCAATCCTCATACAAGAATTTCTGCAGAGTTTCTTTGCACACGAATTTATCACTTCATAGTTCTTTTGCAGACAAACTGCCACATATCTCTGCAGAATGTTTGGGTGAATATTAAAATGCTTCTGAAAAATCTGCCACTTAACTTTTAGAGAGCCACAGAAACATTAACTGAATCAGATATTTTGGACAGTGTCAAAAATAAAAACAATACAGCAATAAATTGCGAGGAAGACAGTAATGATGAAGAATTACTAAGCCTTCATATGATGAAATGTTAAAATTACTTGAAACAATTCGATAGTAGATAATAATTTACAAGATAAAGGTGTATCAATTGCTATTTCAATTATGCCTAGTGTTTACAGGGTTGATTGCGAGCCCAACTCAAATATCCTGAAATTTTTTTTTAGTAAAACCATTTATGACGCATTTCAAAAAATTTATGTCTTTATGAATTTAAATCATTAATATTTTCAAAACATGAAATTCCAACTAAATTATAGGTAGTATAATTTAAATGAATAATTATGTACTATTATCTCTAATCACATTTATCATTCTACCAGAAAAAATATTTACAAATGAATGAGATGCCAAGTACAAAATCTAGTTCTAATATTTTTAAATAGAATATACAAGAATTTTTATACATAAATGTGATCGATGATTTCTTGAAACTTCTGGACATTGGATTTCAGGAAACTTCCGGATCACGGTTAGCGAAAAATCGATCCACGGTTAGCGATTTTTGCCGGAGCACAATCATCTGTGTTTATGAATTTAAAATTTGCTTTGCGTCATTTAAGTATTTCAAATGCTGATTTTCTATTTAACGAATTTTCCATATAAGGAGCTTTTTATCCTGATTTAGCAACTTCATTAAATAGAGGTTCGACTGTATTTTTAAAAACAAAACTTGCAAGAAGGCATTCCTCAACACAATTTTATAATACTGATATTAAAGCAATAATTCTAACGTTTCAAAGTCATATTACAATGTTTGTTTGTTTTTCAGTGGTAAAAAAAATTATGCATCTTATTTACCAAAGCTTCTTTTAGCTAGTAGTACTACATTGTTTGTGCAACGTTAAAAACTATCTAAGAAGCAAATACTACCATAGAGATTTTACTGTGTTTGAAATAAAATAATTATTTACCTTTTTACTGCAAAACAATTTCATCACCACGTCATACTGACAAATAATTACAGTTTGGGATGTAGCACAACAAATGAAAGGTCCATTTGTTACAGCATTTTCTTGAACAGCAAATAAATGGCAGTTCTTTATATTTGCAACAGACTTCAAAGTGATAGGCTGATAGGAGGATTCAAATACCCGTGATTTCAGGCAATCCAGATCAACTGAACTCAATTCCCGATCTTCACCTATTGAATATATTAATTTACATTTTTCAGAAAATTTTAAGAAATGATACAAACAGTTTTATAAAATATAGACACTATGAAATATTTAAAAAAAAATTTTTATAGGAAGAGGAGTCTTACTATCTTTTTCAATTAGATTTAACATCCCATATATTATTAGACATATTACCCATAGTATAGCAAGAACATTTTCATATGTGGTTATTTCAAGCGAAATTTCTCAAGGGGACATTTATATAAGAATAAAAACGCAACACCATAGGCCACTTTTTACCCCCACTATTAAAAAATAAAAATAAAATTTAAGAAGGAAAAAAAAAACAAGAATCCTGTGTTAGATGGTTTATATTACATGTCTAAGAATATCCAAACTTAGCATGATAGTGTGTATGGTAAGTTGCCAGTTTTTCATAATTCACTTGTGATACTTATCAATTGTGTTTCTTTTAATATATCAGAGTTAATCAAAGAATTTCTTTCAAAGATAAAATATTTAAATACTTTGATTTCCTGATCCAAGAATTAGACTGCAGTATTATTTTTAAAAAAATTAAATAGAGTTCAAAAACTAAGAGGCTATTAATAGATAGGTTATAAATTAAATAGAGTTCAAAAACTAGGAGGAAGAAATAATTATTAATTAAATTATATAAAAGTAAAAATAAAAGTGTTAAGTAAGAGTAAAAAATTAAAAATTATAAAAAAGGTAATTTTTCTGATTTTTCTTTCTTTTTTTGACTTTAAAGACTTAATTGAGACTGCTTCATAAACATAAATTAAAAAATAAATAAAAATATTTAAACAAAATAGTATTTAACATTAACTTTCTCTTTTTATACTAAAATAAACTATTTTTGACTCACAACTACAATAGCTACTTGAAATAGTTTGGAATTTATCCTTAGTAATGATCCTAAGACAACACTGTCATATGTTGTTACGATACTACTATGTTTTACATAGGAGAGCAGATGGGGGTAATAATCACCCAGTCTTCATATCAAACTTCCTACCTTTAAATATTAAGGAATAGTCTATTAGAGTAAATTCTAATTCTCATTCTTTTCTTTCCCTCAAATGTTATTATTTATATATTTTCATTTGCAAAAATTCATTTTAACTGTGCTACATAATTTTATTAAAAAACTAAACTTACCATTTATAAGGAGAGCAACATTAATAATTTTTAGACTCATAATTTGAAAAACACTGGCAATTCCGTCAATTTTTTTAATGGTTGAAGATTCATCTTGCATATCTGTAAGAGCATATAATCCTTCTGTTGCACCCAACAGCATAACCTAATAAAAACATACTTATAATTATTGCAAAAGAAATTAAAAATGGTTAAAATTAACAATGGGTCTTATACTTACTTGTTCATCAAATATACTTGCACATAGAGGATCAATAGCTTTACTGCCTTTGAGACTTATAATTGTTTTTGTATCCAATCTCTAAATAATAATAAAAAAGATGGTAAATATTTAAGCATAACACTAAAAAAATTCTAAGTACATAAACAATAAAAATAAATAAATGAATAATTATTAAATAAAGTATAGTAGAAAATCCTGATTTACTCGGTATACAGAAGAATCGCACAACGACACTGAGTTCTTCACTATCAGTATCATTGAAGATTTAAATACTGGATTCTACAAATAACTTAAAAACATGGTTCGAATAGTAATTTTTAAACTGTAACATACTTAGATTATAAATAGGTTAAACAGCTTAGGAGAAAGGAGAAAGTGATGTATATATTACTAAACTTACTTTATGACTACTGTCTACTTCTGAAAGGCTTATTTCAGCTGCTTTTTCCAAAACAGATACCCACATTTGCTTTTCATTGAAGTTAGATGTCATGATATACAAGATCCTAAAATAAACAAGCAATAAAAATGAGAACAAGGAAATGATTTAAAAAAAAGCGAGAAAGAAAGAGATAATACATTAGATTAAATTAGTATCATTGGAAACGCTAGAGCAATACATGCTAAATTGAATGCAAAAAATAATATCAATAATTTTAACCCAAAATTAGAGCAGCACAAAAAAATTTGTATAGAATTTAACAATGAAATTTAATGATTCATGATTGATGATGAGACATAACATAATTATAAGAAGCATGTTACTTGACTAATCGAAATAAGAAATAACTTCAAAACTTGCATCATCAAGATGATCAAAAACTATTTTTAAACAGAGCATGAAAAAGTTGTCTTATCTTAGTTGTCATAAATATCTCAGAGAAAGAAAAAAAAATTAAACTTGCAACTTTAATCAAAATTCTAAATTAAAAAAAATTCACTATTTTTTACAAAAATGTAAAAATACGTTGCAGAATTACTGATAACTTGGTCATAAAGGTGTCGTTAAAAAAGATAGCTTGAGAAACAAAAACTGAACTATAACTAGATTGATGAAACTTCAAATAATCCTGAAGTAACAAAATTAAACAATGCTAGATATTATTTCTAATGCAACAACAACAAAAAATCAATGAAAAAAGAGAGGACAACACTGATTGTCTAGTGGATGATACTTTAGGTATAACAAACCATACTATATTAGACATGATGCTCCTTGACCTTTGTGACCTTGATCAGATTACAGTTGATAATTTACATTTCAGATACTATGGAAAACATTCTGATGAGAATTATATATTGCTTTTAATCTAATTATTCAGAAACATTTCAACAAATAATGATAAAGTAAGATTTTATTTATGTTAACTTTTATAAAACTATCAAAATTTAAATTTCCAACAATTGACAACACCTGAAAATGGATGTTTACCTTTTAGGCCAGCATGTAGTGTGGGGAAATGATTCAACTTTCAGAACAAATGGCAAATCTGAATTGGCTGCATAAGGTAGTTCAGTAGCAGAAACCGAACTTGATACTGTGATCGACGCTTTATCTGACAAAAAGTCTATTTCAAGTAAAGCTTCATCGGGATCTTTCTCCTCTGCAGTTTCAAATATGTAAAGAACACTATCCTCAAAGCGCATGTATCTTCGATCCCAGCCATGTTTGTTAATTCTAAGAAAAAGACAAATAATTGTATCAAATGAATGTAAGTAATTAAAGGATAAATTATGCTCAATTTTGGTTTAAATTTGAATGTTTATTCAGGTGTTCTAAGGTATTGTTCAAGAACAATTCAGAAGTTCTTTTTATTACTTCTTACTATGAAAAACTAAAATAACAGTTAAAGAAATAAATTTGTAAACTAATATAATAGATACAAACTTGAAATATACAATGTTGAACTTATAACCTTGTATACTAAACCATAACACTTGATGAAAATTTAAACAAAAATTTAAAGTAAATAACTTAAGGAATTCATTTGGTCGTTGGTCTGACAGAAATAAAGTAGATTTGTCTTGTAATTACTATGCAAAATTAATACAGTAGTTCACTTTTAGTATAATAGTCCAAGTATTAACTATTCATTAATTCACAATTGCTTGTTTGGAGCTACTGTATTGTGATAAAACCAAATGTAAATAGTACTAAGTTTACACTTACTTTGGCACTTTTATCCATCCTTCTGATATGTTTGGAATTTCTTCAACTTTATCGACTGACAGAGAATTTCTTACAGCAGTTTTAAAATGCTGCATGAAACCTGACGGTAATCCACAGGTTTTTGGCAATGATGAAGCACATTTTGGATGACATTCCAACAGACATTCTACAAAAAAATAAAAATAATAAATTATGAAAAAATTAAAATCGTATAATGAATAAGACTTAAAAATTATATTATCTAATCTATAAATTACATTTCAGGTAAAAAAAATTTTAAAAAAAGAAATTGATCAGGCATGTATTTTTTATCTTCCATGTATCACCAGATATTTAACTCCTTAATTAGAAATAACATTTAAGTGACCCTTCTAATTTTAACAATAATGAACAGATAAATGGCACCAAAATACAAAGAAAAAAAATTGACCTAATATGATAGACTTAAATGTTACTGAATTATGTAATTAAATATTTAATAAACAAAGTAAGCTTAATCTTTTTTACCCAAATGTGAAACTCAGGAATTTGAAATGTGAAAGAGCTTTGTTGTTTTTATAGCTATTACTTAATATTTTCGAATATGTAGTGAACATTCAAAAAAGGATGTTTGAGTTTCTAACATGCCCAGCATGGCATGTAAATATTTTAAGATTTTTCAAGCTCTTTGCATATAGCTGTTATTTACCAAAAATTATAACCATGAATATAAGATATAGAACAATTTCAGCCAGGAAAAAAATTAAAACCTTATGTTTTTCATTATGAAATGAAAAGTGTGGTGCATATCAAGAAATAAAGCTCTATGAAGTTCTTTTTTGCAAGAAATAGTGTCAAAACATACACATAAGCTTTTCTTATCCATAGCTTTTTCCATTTAAACAATTGGATTGATTTGCTGATAATGGTTGTGGAAATAGCTGACTGTACCAAACAATCTAATTTGTTTTAATGCTAGGAACGCAAAGCATAATGAAATTCATTGTCCATTTACTGAGATTTATGTTGAAAGCGTTAAGTCAAATTATTGTATGGTCAGAAGGTGTGTTCAAAAACATTTGACGAAAAACTAAAGAAGCAAAGAGTGGCCTTCAGTTGTCAGTGAAGAATTAATAAGTTACATTGATATGAAAGAATGGAGTTAGAGACAAAAGATATTTTACACCGTCAACTTTTTTTGATAAATAAGCTGGAATTGCATAAACAGTTTTGCACGAAATGGCTTCCAGGTATTTAAATTACCATAAGTTGTGTACCAATTGCGTACCAAAAATGCCTGCAGATATTCACAAAATTAAAAGATTTAGGGTTTTGATATTTTTTACCTGATAGAGTTAAGGGAGAGACATAGTTCAGAAATTTGTCTAACCGACACATTCATTGAGGAAGATATAAGTACGTTTTTTGCAATGATGAAGCAATACATAGAAAAATGTTCAAGATATGTATTTTTATATTAGAATAAAGATTGACTGAAAAAAAAATCTTAAGACATGAGGTCATCAAATTTTTTTCATAAAAAGAATTATTGGATGAAATAAACAGATTTTTTTCAGAAGAAGTTTTTGATGGGTCAAGCAAGCTAATGAGCTAGGTTTGAGTCTTATCTCTATCCTTGAAGCGATAAATTTTTTCCTTAACCCCTTAACTGCCGAGTAAAATTAACGTGATTCACTCCCCAGTGCCACCGTTTTTCGCTCAAGTGCACTTTCTTACACGGTGTTTTGGTGGGGAAAAATGATGCACGCTTTGCAATTTAAAAACAGTTTACTTTTACAAGACAAGAAAAAGGAAAGAAAGAAAATACAAAATTTAAATTAAATAATAAAAATACAATATAAAAGATGTTAAAACTTAGCTGTTGTATGATAAATCCTGAAACATGGTTGGACACATAAACCAACATCACATTCATCGCACTGATAGTTTTCATATGCAGGTTTTTTTTCTTGAACAAACAGCACATTTTTAGCGATGCATTTTTCTTTGAAGACGTTGATNAAGAATAAAACAAAAAATTACCTTGACATTTAACAATTGATCTTCCTAAATACATAGAGTCCAAGCAAATGCAACATTTAGAATTTCTCATGCACATAACCTCACAGAAACGATGTGGTATTTTATGCTTCATTCCTTGAGGGTGGACAATTCTTTCACTATTTTCATTAGAATCACAGTTAGAGTCAGACTTGGAACTCGGCGAGTAAGTGATTGCAGTGTGCATAGCTCGTGAATTTGGTGTAGCAGGGGCATCAACTTTTGCAGCCATTGATTCTGATAGATTGCTTACTGGAAAAGAAGTCGGAAGCAAAACATTTTAACACAAAATTTCACAATGGAGGAAATTATATAATATCTAGAAGAATGTCGTAAACTTAAAATCATTTTTTATGCTAATCACTCATAATTTAATCTGTGTAATCACATAATCTCATTAATCCAACTTGCAATATAGGACCTCCATTATGGTCTTCCATCTCATCCATTACAGATTATCCAAAATATTAAAGTGTGTCTTTAAATTTTAAATTTTTATAATGCATTTTAAAAGAAAATATCTAAATTAAAAATGACCTTAAAGCACTTAAAATTTCACAAAAAATCTTAAAATTATCACTTAAAAATAAGAAATGTTGCACTTAAAATTTAAAATGCACTGTGGAAAAAAAAGATAACTTCTTTTTTATGGTTTTTACTTTACTAGGGTGCTCCAAATTAATGATTCAAACATCTTTACAGAAGTGTGAGCAATAAACAACTAATGTCTAATAACAGAGAAATATATTAATATCTCAGTAAAGAAGATATACTGATTAGTAACTAAATTAATTAATGCCTAATAACTAAGAAAGAAACTAAGTTAATTAATAACCATAGAAAGTTTTTAGCTAAAATCTAATTTCAATGAGAAGGATTTCAGGGTGCCTTTGATTTAATTTTATAAAAGATTACAAAATTTATAATATTTAGGAAAGATATTTTTTTCAGTTAAAACATATTTTTATAAAGACAAATACAATTGAGGGTATTTCTACAGGTATATGACAATAACAATTAAAAAAACATCTCTCACTAAGTTAACTAACTAGATTATTTTTTATAAACAAGCTGATTTCTCAATTTTTACAATATAGGGTTGGATGGGATATCACATGATTGTATCCTCACAACATAACCCATTGTATCATTGTGGCAATTATAATCATCCTAAAATAAAAAATCAAATTTTAAAAAAAATTTAATTTAATATACGTTCTTTACTTAAATAAGTAAAAATTTCATCCTAACAAGAGAAAAAACTTATGTTGGGTAACCTCTGTCATGATTTTACATTGACCATGATTTTACATGATTTTACATTGCTCAAAACATAAATTATTCTGCAAAAAACTTTATACTGTGATGTAAGTAGCAATTTTGAGCACACTTTGTGCTTCATGGATTTGTTTGAACACCCTATATATAATCTAGTGCATTATTATGCTTGCAATTCATAAGACATAAGATTATAGATGCTAACAAATTTACAAAAGATTATGGCATTTACAAAACAATTTCTAACTGCAAATTCTTTTCCACAAAAACATGTAGTTAAAGAAAGGAAACTTTATAAAAAAAATTTTACAGGTAAAAATATAAAAAAGCAATAAATATTTCAACAACAAAAAAAAATTAGGGAACTTTTTACATTTACAAATCTTGTGATAAATATAAGGAATTTTCAGAGCATGTGTTTTTCACTATAAGCATTTCATTAGTGAAATTATACAAAGAATTTCATTTTTTTAATACATTCCCCATTCTAATAAGAAATGTTTGTCATAGTATAATTTTTAAAATAAAATTTATTACTTTTTGGTCAGCCTGGCACAAGGAAATTCAAAATTTTTTCTGTAATTTTTTATTTTACTTTTTTTATTCTATTTAATTTCTATCTGCTTAAAAAATTAAATAAAATAAAATAAAAAGTTGACAGAGGTCTATTTTTTTTTTGGTAATTTCTTACTTGCAGGGGCAACTGGAAAGTTTCCAAACTTTAAAATAAAAATTGTGAATTAAAATTAAAACAATGTTATCAATACATAATTAATTTTAATAATTATTATTTAAATACATTTCAAATGGTAAAAAATTTACTTGCAGTTAACTTATTTTTGTGCAAAATATTTTTTTTTCTTTCTAAGAGAATTTTGTTATATATGAAGAAAAAAAAAATTCTTTTAGAAAAATTTATACTTTTGAAAAAATAGGGAGATCTAAATTTTTCAAGCAATACCATTAAATATAAGAAGTCCCCTTAAGGAATAAGGAGAGTTGCAAACTATGTAATAATGACAAAATAGATACAGATCAAATAAAATATACTCAATTCTTCACATACTCTGTCTCTGCAATAACATTTTTTCTGCTCTAGCTTGACTCAATTGATCTTGCAGCCTTCGACAACGACTTCTTTCAGTTTCTAACATTTTTTCCAAGTCTCTGCTTTGTGGAAGTTGCTGAGGTGCATCTTTCTTCCCAAACAATCGAGCAATAGGCTAAAATTAAGTAACTTTTCATCAATATTTTATTTTTTGGTTCTATGGATACTTCATCAATTTGAATACTAGGTGCATTTTTAAAAATGTTTTTTTTTTTAATGCTCCCAGGATACAAATGTCATTTTTTTTTCTATAGATCACATAAACAACTTCTGGTATACTCTTAAGAAATGTAAACTTTTTACTCAATACAGTTCAAATCTTTAAAGTACAACACAGTATTTTTAAAAAAGTCTTGACATACCCTTTTTTTTCTTTTCCATATTCTCAGTTTTCTCTTGGAGAAAATCAATAAGTTTTGCCTGCTGGGAAATAGTTTCTTGCATTTTTATCTTTTCATGATCATATTTAGCCTACATTTAAAAAAAAATGTGAAATTATTCCATAATTATAAAATATTAAATACCAAGTACATACTGAAACAACTGTTAAACACTATAATTATAAAAATAATCATGTGTTGTAATAAAAGAATTTGACTATACAACAAAATTAAAAGAAAACCTACTTTTTCACTATCTCTTTCATTGTAAAGTTCTTTGATTGATTTGATTGATTTTGAAACATTCGTGAAAATATTTGGTGGCAGCAGAAGAGCATCTGGCAGCCAAAAGCAATCTAAAAACAAATTTTCTCAAATTAAGTTTTCAACATAATTTTTTAAGTTTTTAAACATAGTATGATAAAATTGCAAAATCTGGCAAAGGATGTGAAATAAATAAGAACTTGATAAAGAATTAAGACTATTTTGTGTGTAGCGAATTTTAAAAAGTTCTTCCACCAAGGAAAATAAGAATAGCTTTAGACTAAGTGGACACAATTAGTCTATGTGTGCACAGTGTATGAAATATATAATATATTTATAAATTGAAATGAAAATATATTTACAAAATTACAACCCTTTATTTCTTGACAAAATAATAGTTATGCTATTATTAAATCAAAAGATTTTTTTTTATTTTTAAAAAGTCGAAATAAAAAATAAATGGTCTAAATATTAGGTTTAAAATTTTACTAACAAAAAGGATTTCAGGCAGCTTGATATTTGCTGTTGGCTGGTAGAAAGTTTAAAAAAAATAATAAAAATAAAAAACTTTTACTGTAGAAGATCTATAAAACAAAATTCTATAAACCCTAAAGACTCCATTTTCAAGTTTTGTGCTATAAAGTGCTACTATATAGTATGTAGGTAATTACAGTTAAGATATTAATCACTTAACAAGATTAGAATTCTAATTAAAACCAGGAAATATCAAATGCAATGTTAAGAAATATTTATGCGAATGATTTTATACCTAATACTTACACGAATCAACAATTTATGTTATGTTCATTATAAATGAATCTAAAGTTATTGCTTTTCAACTGAAGAAGATAATTTTTAAAGTTCTAGGTATCCAATTCAAACTTTTTTTATTAATAACCTTTTCAATATTTTTTACCTCAGTCTTGTTTTCGAAAACTTTAAAGAATTTTCACAGGTTTAGTTTTAAAATTTTTAATAACAAGCTTTTTATATCAAGATCTCAATTTAG